GGGGATTGAACCGCGGTCCCTGTGCTTTGCTAAGCTTGTTCTAAGTAGGTGCTTTAGACCACTGAGCCATCTCACCAGCCCTCAGGGAAATTTTAAAAAAAAAGATTAGAAGCTTCTTGGCTACCAGATAATTTTAATATGCTTAATTATAACTTTAATTTATATCAGGAAAATGGCTTACAAAAGGGTTTCTCAAACTGATTTTAATGTTCTGACATGTAGTAGAGTTTAACTAATAAATTACATATAAAATATACTCATATACTTATAATAGTAAATTGGAAAGTGTTTTTATCATGACATAATGTGTTTTCCCCTAAGGCTTTTGTTACTAGGTATAAAAGTAAAAGAAAACCTAACTCTCTACAAAGACAAAGCCTTGTGTTTTGTTTTGTTTTTCTGAATCTGAAATGATACTGAACTTTTTTTTTTTTTTTTTTTTTTTTTTGACATGGGGTCTCACTATGTAGTTGAGGCTGGCCTTGATTCAGTATGCAGCCTGTGCTGATCTGGAAATCATGGCTATTCTCTGGCCTCAGCCTCCAGAATGCTGGGATTACAGGCGTGTGCCACCATGCCCCGTTCAAACAGTCCATTTTTTTACAAGTAGAGGGGTAACAACCATTTTAAAGTATATACAGTGTATCAGGGATTATATCAATCCATTTACATGTATTATCTCATCTATTTTATAACTATCGTTGTGAAATGCAAGTATTAAAATGTGGAAATCAAGACTGTGAGAGATTAGTAGTTGAGCAATGTAACTAAATGTGGAATATTAATGAACAGTTGGGACAGCTAGCATTGAAACTTAGACCATACTTTCAGCTTTAAAAATCCTAATTGAGCTTTGTGGTGCATGCCTGTAATCCCAGTACTTGGGAGGCTGAAGCAAGAGGATTGCCTTGAATTGAAGGTCAGCCTAGGCAATAAGGTGAGTTCAAGGCCAGCCTGGACTGTAGAGGGAGATCTTACATCCAACAATAACAACAAAAAAACCTGGTTTCCTGACTTGTATCCATGTGCAAATATAACAGTTTTTATTTAATAAAAGCATAACTGTGCAATGCATGCTGCTTTGTGGTGTGCTTATACATTTTAGAATCTATTTTAATCCATACATGTGTGATATATGACTTATGTGTATCATCACTTATTTAATATCTATGCTCTTAATACTTCAGTGATAACTTAGTTCCATTTTAAAGTAACAGGGATTAACATTGAATTTGCACATGTAAATTCTAAGCAGCAGAGTTTACATCATCTTTTGCAGAATGCATCCTAGGAATATCAGCTTCTTAGGTGTTCTTCCCTAAATATATCAGTGCTTTAACTTTCATTTAAAAATCTTTATTCTTTTTGACAGCACTTGTGAAGTTATAATCAGTCCACTAAGTAGAATTTTGTTTCAAAACACACAAACACATACATACATACCTGCCTATCTGTCATATGTATCGTAGCATTTTGTGATTGACCTGAATGAATTATTTAATGGTAAATATTGAGCATTCTTGTGTATAGTCTACATAGCACTTTTAAGATGTCACCAGAGGGCTGGAGAGATGGCTCAGTGGTCTAAAGCACCTACTTAGAACAAGCTTAGCAAAGCATCAGGGACCGCGGTTCAATCCCCCAGCACCACATGCCAGCCAGCCCCGCCCCCTGGTGGGCTGAGCTGGCCACACACACACCTCTCTCTCTCTCTCTCTCTCTCTCTCTCTCTCTCTCTCAAATAAATAAAAAAAAATTTAAAAAAAAAAGATGTCACTAGATCTTATAATGGAAATTTTAAATCTGTGTTCTTTTTTGTTCTCTACATTAAAAGAAAATCAAAATATTGGTATACAAGGGAACTATTATGACCTTTTACAACTTGGAGGATTTTAAATGTTTGTAATAAAATTATGGGCAAATATACTTACAAGCATTCCTTTTAAAATATGACATCTAGTGGTTTTAAGGAATGACATCTAGAATCTCAGTGTAAATGTCAAATGTTGTGAACTATGAGAAAGTACATTGACATGTAATTAAATTGCAGACCATTTGAAACGTAATTGGGAATGACGTTTAAGGAAAGGTTTCCATTTCAGTGCAGGTCAGTAGCTATATGTGAAATCAGTAGTTTGGGACACTAGGGTTTTGTTTTAAGGTTTTATAAATTACACTTGATACTTGGTATCACTTCATGAGTAACATGGAGACTTGACATTCCTTTAATGGAAGAAAACTTACATAAGTATTATTCACATAATGATATAGAGACATGCGTTCAATTGTTTTTAGTTTAAAAAGGATTACTTATTGGAGATTTTAATGTTTTCTGCATGGATAGCATTCCATGCAGTGTTAAAAGGGCAGTGATTTATTTTATTCACATTCAAGTAAATAGAAAAGGAAATATGAAGTCACTTGGAAGAGCTTTTGTATTATGCACAAACAGGTGAAATGTATCTATAGGGTCTCTTGCACTGAATATGCTGTAGCTATAATACAGACAACCACCTTTCTGAGTTAATTGCTTTTGTTGAGTTTTTAAGATAGCACTCTACTTTTTTCTGCTTGTTTTAACATGGGGCTCCTTTAGCGTTCGTCCGTCTGTCCGTCCGTCCGTCCGTCCGTCCGTCCTTCCTTCCTTCCTTCCTTCCTTCCTTCCTTCCTTCCTATAAGATAGCTTATAAAAGTTTGATTTCAGTGGGAGGTACCAGATAATAGTAGGTGGAATGTCAAGCTTCTGTTAAAGTTATTGGGTTGTAGTGATGGTAGAGAGCAGTGATAAATAATAGTTTTAATAGTTTTTCTCATGAGATAGAGGAGAA